CCACTTCCCAATCATTTAGGGGTCTTCTGAACCCGAAGTTCCATCCTATGTTATCTCTCACCTCATTAACTGTTGCCCTTCTCTGTAGGTTCAAATTTTATAAAACAGTAAACCTGGTCTTCAAAGTTTGATTGCCAACCCAAATATCCTCCCAAAATAAGGTCTTCCCTCCATGACCTACCTTGATTTTGGAATTGCTAATGATCTTGGGCCACAGATTCCTAATAGTTCTCCATACAGCAGTTCCATAAGGATGTAGTACAGTCATGCTAGTCCAAAAATCTGCACCAACTTCGACAAGTAAAAAGAAAAATATATTTTTAGCATAAGGGACTTTAAGTCTTCCAATTTGACCATCTGAACCAACACTGACTGCATACACCCACCTGACCTCCAACAGTGCCTATGTCTGCTTTTCTAATTGTCCAGAAAATGCTGAGACTTGTAAGCCCTGACTGACTTCCAATATGAAGAAAAACTATTGAAACTGAAACAGGAACTTGCTGGGAATTGCAAAGGCTGGATATCGTTGGAGCTGGCGGGAACTTGGATGGATCTGGTTGGATTTGACCACGCGATCCCCAGAAAAACAAGAGATCTGCGAAGATGGAGATCGAAAAGCGTCTCATGCGCTTGCCATATAGACTGACGCATCGCCGGAGATCCTGTTGTTGTCGGCGTGTGAGAGCGTGTGCGAAGTCGATTAATGATGGGTTTTCTGGGGTTGGGTCGCCGGGGTTCTGTGAGCAAAGTAATGTTGTTGGTTGAGGTGCAATAACCACAGTTACTGGCAAAAAACCTGAGTCTTTGGAAGGACGTACAGTTACGAATTTTTTTTCTGGTCGCTGGGAAATGCACCACGATTAAATGTTCACACTAGCTTTGATACCATGTGAAAAAGCACAAGAAAATATTATTATTCAAGGTGATTGGGTCCTTGGGATACAAACAACTGCATCCCAAAGGATGGAACTGGAGAGGAAGATGAAGATGCAAGAGTGATCGTGACTAAATCTCAGATAATGGAACTGGTAACACCTCAGAAATATCTAAGTCATCACTTGGGTATGTGAATATGGCTGGTTTTTAAAGACGGTAACATCAGTCGACATAAGAGACACCTGCCCAGGTCAATTGGGTGTATGCAGTCAAAGTTGGTCCAGATGGTCAAATTGATAGACTTAAAGTCACCTTGTTGCCAAAAGTTATACTCAGATATTTCATCTAAACAAAGCCTTTACCACCATTTTTACTGCTGGTACCTTACTTCAACCCCACGATAGGATAAACTCAATTTCATCCCCATAGCTGTCCACCATCTTCTATCCTCATCTCCTCCAATCCACCTTAAATAAATTGACCACCCATTGACCCAAAAATCAATTTTCCACCACTGCCACAGCCTCTCCAATAGACCAGATACCACCAACCAAAGATCTCCTCCACCTTTCTACTACCTTTACCATAACCCCACAGATTTCCAAAAACCGCAACTGTCACTCCATCTCAAACCACCCAAGGACGCCCCCCCCCCCCCTCTTCATCAACACCACTTTCAATCTCTCTTAAGAAAAGTCCCTCTTGACCACCGTGTTTACCTCCATAGCCACCACTAATCTCTTCACTTTTCATCTCCTCCAATGCCCCCTGGCTGGTCCTTCACTTCAACTACCAGTAGGCACCTCTGTTCCCCTTCGTTAAATTGGATTTCCAGAAAATGGAGAATTACTCAACCGCCTATAATCATCAGCTTATTCCAATGAAAGGTGAAAGAATCCCGTTTTCAACTAAAAGAAATTCCAACAATGAGGAAAGATATTGAAAACCATTAACTACAGATCAAGGTTCGATTATACTTGAATCTGTCAAAGAAAACCCCAGTTTGTCGATATTCAAGACCTTTATCAAAAACCCATGCGTAATGCTTGAACCTTGACTTAAAACCCAGATGTAGACATGTATAACCTGAAGCAAAAATTAGATCAATATAAGCTTCAGGATTATTTTTTTGACAAAGAAAAAAAAATAATCCTGAAGCTTATATTGATCTAATTTTTGCTTCAAGCTTCAGGATTAAATTCAGAAGAAACTCACCTTTTTCGAATTTGCTCCTCCACTAAACAATCATACCGAATGGGGTTTACAAATAAAGTATTATATTCCCACGTCGCCACACACTCTCTTCAATTTTCAATAATTTCCAAACCAGAGATGAAATTTTTAATGAAAATTGAAATCCAAAAGAAAAAAGATGTTTTTTTTTCCTTTTTTGGGACAAGTCAGAATCTGGGAAATAGAGTAATTTTGGAGATGCTTACAGGAGGAGGAGGAATGTGCTGAATAAATTTGGGGTTCTTGATTTGTTATTTCTTAAAAATCGTGTAGTTGGAGGCTGTCTTTGGTTATTGGTGGAAGGAGGTGGTGAATCAGCAGTTATTTTTATGAAGGTGTTGGACTGGAGGGGCGAGGAGAGCTGGTAAGGAAAGGGGTGGGTTGAAATTTTATCATGTCGGGGACACATGGCAGCCCCAGTTGCTAATCACTACGTTTAAAATCTTATTAGGACCAACTAACACTCAATCTGTGAATAAGGGCATATTTGAGCAGTTGAGCTCATTTGGTAACTGCAGGGTAACAGGGTACATTTGACCCCAACTATTAATGGGGGATAATGTTTGATGATTTTGCATAATTGAGGGGGAAATTGTAATTTCATGCACCTTTTCCAGGAAAAAAAAGTAAACCTTTGAAAGTTTTGGCATAACTTTGAGTTTTTTGTTTAGGAGAAACTTTTATCTGGTAATCTATTTTTATATGCTCACTGCTCCTGTAATATGAGTTTTGATTTTGCATTTTTTTCCTCAATCAATTTATGTATGCTTGGTATTCCTGTCATGAGTTATTATTTTGCAAGTTATATCTTGGGTGCCATTTGAGTGGGAAAACATACCTAGTTAAACAAAAAACACATCATACATCTTCCAGTATCCAGAAGCAAGCATTTTATTGCAGCAAGGGTTTGGAGAGAGTGGGTAATCATGAAGAGGAGCTATGAAAGGGGAAAGAACTTTGCCCGAGCAATCTTTCTTAGATATGTTGGCTAAGTTTCCTTGGAAACGTTCCTAAATAGGAAGTTCTTAAAAAATACAAAACTTCTCACGTACATTGTCTTTCTACATGGATGGTCATGTATTCATTGGTAGCTTGCTTTATTTGTCATTGCTTGGATTTATTTGGTTTTATTTTTTTCAAGTGCTCAAAGTCTTGGCCTTATGTTTTGTTTTGTAGAATCTGAACATGGAGGCAACACATTTCAGGGATGAACTGTGGAAAGGAATTCGTGATCTTTATAAGAAAACCGATTTGATTATACTTGTGCATAACCTATCTCATAAAATTCCTTGCTACAACGACTCAAATGCCTTGCAACCACAACCTGCCATGTGCCTTCTCCTTAATGAGGCAAAATCTCTTGGAATACCTTGGATACTTGCCATTACAAACAAGTTTTCTGTCAGTGCACACCAGCAAAAGGTAGCTATTAATGCTGTTGTGAAGGCATATCAAGCATCTCCTAGCACAACTGAGGTTGTCAATTCATGTCCTTATGTTACGTCCAGTGCTGCTGGTGCTCCTCAATCTTGGTATACAGAAGGGAAAGATCCAGAGTGGATGTTTGGTGCCCAAAAGCTTTTTTTTGCTCCACTTGAACTAGTCCGAAGGCCTTTCCAGAAGAAAGCAGCTGTTCTCCCCATTGATGGGGTATCTGCTCTGTGTGAGCTTGTCCACCGTGTACTTAGGAGCCAGGAAGAAGCTGCTTTACTGGTAAGGAGTTGAAAGTGAACTTCTTAATCCTCCTCCCCCCACCCAGTTGTTCATGACACAGATGCGTGGTTTTGTTGTCTCTAGGAGTTCGCCAGAGATAGGCTTTTTGTGGAATTGGCTCGGGAGAGAGCAGTTGAAATTCAAGATTCCCAGACAAAGGTCAATCCTCTGAATGCTGCGGCTGTTGGTGCTTCACTTGGTGCTGGTTTGGGCCTTGTATTAGCTGTTGTCATGGGTGCAGCTTCTTCTTTGAGGAAGCCATAAAATCTTCTGTTGGGAGCTGTGGCCCGTGGGATCGGCTATTTAGGGTGTATAGGAAGGTTTAGTTGCCTTAAATCTGTCGTGGATATGTAGCCATTCTTTTAATTTTATGACTACACAATATTTAATGATGATTGATTTTTCAGTAGATTCTTTGTTATATATTTCTTAGGCCTCTATTGGAGCAGATCTAGTAGTATAGATCTAGGCTCAGTTGAACCCATAAAACTATTAGCCAAGACACAGATTTGTCTATGTAGAACACACTGGAATTGCTGAAATGTTAAACTATGATAAGGCGATGGATTCAATGGTTAGAACCTGAATCCAATAAATTGTAATCCTGAGTTTGCCTCTGCATTTTTGTGATTCACTGCTAGGTGAAATTAAAATCCTTATCTTTAACCTATAGATGCGCTCTTGCTAGTTTATCTACTCATGTTCCTATCGGATCAAACTAGTTGAAAAAGACTGTCTATTGATTTTTTGAAGGTTTACGTTTGATTAACCATCGAAGATTGTTAGAATTAATATTAAAAGGTTGTATACCAAATTACCAATTTTAAAGAAAAAATGTATTGGAAATCTTTTTACACAGCAAGTTTTAACGACCCGGCTAAATTTTGTAGCATTTGTTAGGATGCATTATCATAAGTCTGACATAATACCATAAGATTTATAGCCAGATTTGGCGATATAAGGATTTTACAAGAAATGCTAACATTTTTGTGACGAGAAGTTTTACCCGTCCTTGGTCACAAGTCACAACTTGCTGCAAAATCTTGGCCACAAATCCATTCTTGCAAAAGTTTTTCTAACATGATCACAAGGTCATTGTCTCAACGAAGGATTAGAACTTGACGAGTTATGTAAAACTCAATCATTTCTCAATAATATTTATCTCGTAGCCTTGTAAAGATACAATTATAACCTATTGGGGTTATTGTGTACTGCTCCCCTTAGTTGCAAGACTGCAAGTAATACAACAATTAACTAAATGCAAACAAGACACGCCCTTGAGCAACTGCCCAGCTTAAACTGAGGGCAGAGCAGAATATAAAGGTAAAGAGAGAAAAGATCAACATAATGAGTTATGGAACAAAACTAGCTGGAACAGCACGACGTTTTTTGCTTTGACATGTCGGTTCCATTGGCAAGGCTAACCCGATTGACAGATAATTCTGCCTTGTATGAATCAGAGTTGAGTACTTTTCTGCTCAAGTTTTTGTATATCTCATGGATGACAATTTCAAAGGCTGTTTTCACATTAGTAGAGTCGAGAGCAGATGTTTCAATAAAGAACAATCCTTCCTCTTCTGCAAGGTTTTTTCCGTCCTCTACACTCACATCTCTGATATTCTCCAGATCACACTTGTTCCCAACAAGCATTCTTGCAACTGTTGTATCACAATGGGCTGCATTACCACTCAAGATGTGTCAGATGAATTTCCAAAAAGAGGGCAAGGCAATAAAACTAATTCGGGTATGATTCCAAGTTGAGAGAAACAAAATTTGATCTGAGCATCCGGTAAGATAGCAGGAAGAACAATTGAGGATTTATTCGAATATTTGAGTTACCATGTTGAATACTGCAGTATATGTGCAGAGCTGTAGTGCGCGGGAAGATTCAAATATTGAGGGGATAAGAGTTAAGACAAATTGTCTTCTAACGAGATGATATTTAATGTGAAGCCTGTGAACAATTGAATAAAATAACATAGAACATATAGCATCATGCTATCTATGGGAAATTTCAATCTGCAATTCTTTTGAAAATTAGCTCATAAGATGTTAGAGCTTCAGATTTTAGTCACTTCAACAACTCAATTCAAACTAGATGGGGTCGGTTGTATGAAAATCAGCTCATAAGATGTTAGAGCTTCAGATTTTAGTCACTTCAACAACTCAATTCAAACTAGATGGGGTCGGTTGTATGAAAATCAGACAAGTCCACGACTTCCAGCAGAATTTTCTTGGTAGCACAACTTCACGTGGAAGATGAGCAACTTTTAAAGCAATGCTGCTTAAAGCCTCCGCAATGCCAAAATTCAAACTTATAGTTTGCATTTCTTCTCAACACAGAAGCACAGGGAAGGCTGGAATAGGAATCTCTTCACCCTAAATATTGATACAACTAATTCTCTAGAAACTGTATATTTATAGTTATTTTCAAATCCGTCAAGCTACACACGCACAATTGCCTTACCAGTTTCATTACATTTTCGCAATCATACCTAGCAAAAATTTGTTTTGACACAATGAAGTCAAAAGTATTTTACAACCACCAACCTAAAAACAGCTCCCTCCAAAACAGGAAACACATAATATGAACAAATGCCTCAAACTTACAACATGATCAGCTTCAAGAAGTAAGACATGAGCTCATACACACAAAATCAGTGCTCAGGAGTGAAGTTAACAGCATAATAGACACTCTTTTCCGGTAATCCGTGGCACAATTGCCAATTGATACTCTTATAACAAGCTTATTACACTTAAAACTTATGTAATAGTACACAAACTGCTACTTCCGCAGAATCAGACAAAAGCCCTTTATACTTTCCATGTCTAAACAATTGGGTAAGCAATTTAGTTAATCAAGAATGCATACTCCCTATGGGATTGCTGGACACTTTTTCCAGGTAACAGCGATGAGTTATGCCCAAAATTTTTGAGAACTAGATAGAACCCGCGTTAATTGGTCTACAAATGAACAAATCCATGAACCAAAAAGGGGGAGAATTGCAATGCTATTCGAGTTCATAAATCAACAAAGTAGGGAAGCAATGAATCCAGATCAGGCAAAACAAAATAGAAATACAAAGAAAGCAAAAGGGGCTTACTGTTGAGTTCATCAAGCCATCGTTTGATATTGTCGAAAGTAGTGCTCCTAGTGATGTCATAAACAATGAGAGCACCCACAGCGCCTCTATAATAAGCAGAAGTGACAGCCCGAAAACGTTCTTGACCAGCAGTATCCCAAACCTGGGCCTTAATTTCCTTACCATCAACTTCAACAACTTGCGTTTGAAACTCAACTCCAATGGTGGCCTTAGAGTTATGGTCAAATTCATCACGGGCAAAACGAGACAACAAGTTGGATTTGCCAACAGCAGAATCCCCAATCACCACAATCTTGAAAAGATACTCTTGTTCCTCCTCCATTTTTCTTCTCCTCTTTGTCGGTCGGAACTACTTGATGCTCTACTCTACTCTACCACTAGTGTGAAATGTGAATGGTGTAGACAGAGATGTTAAGATAAATAAAGGGGTGGAAGGTTATGGCACTATTTATATAAGAGAAAGTATTGAAAATATTTGAGTTTAGCATTAGTTTCAATCCTAAACTATTGAAAATACCTATTAATTAAACTTATATACACCTCAATCCCACGTGACAAGTGATCTCAAGCTTTTGTAAGAGCATGAGATTCATTATAAAAAGTCGAGAGATCAAAAACATTCTAAACTTGACGGTAATTTAGGAGTCTATTTCTCATGTTATAAGATCGGAGGTGTATTTAAGTTTAATTTCAAGTAAAAGAATGTTCTTAAAACTATCAATAATTTGGAGATGAAACTAATAATTTGCGTCAAATTTAGGAGTATGTTCGATACTTTTCATATACTCCATCTGATCCTATTTATATGTCATACTTACTAAAAATAGATGATTTTTAATACTTGTCATTTTACAAAATCAAAACTACATAAATAATAATATTCTTCGTATTTTACTCTCAAGAGTTATTAACCTTGAAATTATGTATTTGACCAATATAGAAAAATCAAATGAGTAATTTATGTTCATTGGTCAACTTAATTAATTTATATTTATTTATTGAAAACTTGACTTTAGAAAAACATTAAATAAGAATACAATAATAAACTTACTTAATTTTGTGATATCTAAAATAATGATACATAAATAAAAACGGAGGGAGTATATATATAATACATATGGAATTTAATATAAAAAGAAGACAGGAAGAAAAATGTTGTGCTTTGAAACGCGTGGACTTTGGGTGAAGTTAGCAGCGATACACTGCGCAATTGACGACATTAATGGGAACCCGTTGTCTGATCACTCTTCGTAAGTCACGGTCACCCAAATTAAGGGGTGTTCACGGAATTTAATAATTTTTAAATTATTAAAATCAAATCAAACATAATAGTATATATTTATTGACCGATTGTTATCATTATTCATTCAATTTGATTTGGTTATTCGGTTATTAGTTATATATGAAAATAAAAGTGATAAAGGTCTGAAAAATACCTCAACTTTAACTGAAATTGTTGTTACGATATCAAACTTTATTGAGGACCTATTACCCCCTGAACTATTTAATAGTGTATTTTTTACCCCCTGAACTATTTAATAGTGTATTTTTTACCCCCTGAACTATTTAATAGTGTATTTTAAAGGTATATATGTGCCCACGTGGACACATTACTATTTATAATTATGCATTATTTTTTATGTCCACGTGGGCAAATATATATGTTTAAAATACGGTATTAAATAGTCTGGGGGTAATAGATCCTCATTAAAGTTTAGTATCGTAACAACAATTTCGACCAAAATTGAGATATTTTTCAGACTCTTACCCCTAAAATAAAATTAAAAGATGAAATAGGGAAATAGAAAAACGTACATATTCAGGATACATATATGTTTAGAATACTTTTTGATCGGAATACATACATGATGTTGGAAGTACATTTTGTTTTCAACCTTTTTACTTTCATAAATAAATTATAAATATTTTTTTATGAAAACATATATAAGATATTTAAAATTATTCATAAAAATAATGACTTTTTTGCTTTTATAAATTAATTATAAATAAATTTTGATCAAAACATATATACGATATTTAAAATTATTCATAAAAAATAATATATTATGTATATATTATAATAGAAATATGTATATAATTTTTCGATTCACTTATATTTAGTAAACAATGTCGATATTTATAGAAGAATAGATAAAAAAACTAATAATTATTCATGTAAGTAGGATATATTCTTGACTCATTGGTTTAGACTAGTTTTAAGCTAGAAGAGGTCTTAGACTCTTGAGTTCAACTCTACTTAACCACAATTTTAAGCATAAGTATGATATATTTTGCAAAAAAAACATGCTTTAATTTGGTTTTGAACCTCCATACTCAAACATCAAACTCAAGAACTGAATCAACACGTCAATGAATAACTTCTATCAAGTAATGCTATTTCGTTTAATATATATCTTGATGCATAGTATTATATGTATGTATTGAGTAAAATTTTCGAGGAAGGAGTGTCACTTGACACCCTTCCATCAACGTGGGTCCGCCCTTGACCAAATCAAACTCAAACAAAATTAATTTATTTGATCAGGTTGTCTATAGTATTTTGCTATGATTGTTTTCATTTTCTTTATTTTTTTTCTTTATATTACTTGGGACTTTTCTTTTTCTTGAGCCCAGGATCTATTGGAAACAACCTCTTTACATCTAAGGTAGTGATAAGTGTAAAACCTCACAAATTCTGCGCTACGGATCCGAACCATTCATTGTAAGCATATAAGCTTGAACAAGACGATCTCTTACTTGTACATGTGTTTTAATGTCCTTTTACAAGTGTAGAAAGTGTATCAGATGTGATTTAGGGTCATAATGGACCTCTAGCACTAAGTTGAGTTCATAACTTTCCTATCGGCTAAGTGATACTCCCAAATTACACTTCCCAAAAGAAGTATAAGCGGTCATTGTCAAATAAAGAACCCAACTTGTAGTTTGGGGTTGATCCCACGGGGAATATGGTTTAGACTTAAACTTAACTTACGATTATTTCTTTTTAGTCAAACTATTTCCGAGGAAAGTAAACAAGGGGGAGGGGGGTTGCAAATAAAATAACAGTTTGTTAGTTTGAATTAATAAGTAACAAGTAAGCAAGTTTCACAATTGAGATATGAAAACTAGGGTATATGTGTTCCCCACAAACTCTTAACGTATTATTCATAATAATTGTAATTCTATACAAGTGTTTGACATGCAAGGCTGATAAGTTAGGTATCCCTAAGTGATTGGTAATCCAAGTAGGAACTTTCACTCGTAACTTGGTAAGTCTACGGGTGTGTGCTTTATTAACCCTTACCTTTACCCCGGTTTAGTTATGTGTTAATTGAATTGGGTATTCACTCTCACATCAACTGATTAAAGTCAGACTATTAGATAGCAACAAATCCTTAACTAAATCTCTGTTGTTTAATCCTTTTCTCATTCATTACCCCCTTGGTAAGGCAAGTAGGAACGAGGCGAGTTCTAACGTTGTGCACTGCTAAAAAGACTTTTAAACGAAAAGATTAACAATACATGCATAACACTTTTCAAGAAATATTACTTAGTTATTAATCATACGTTGTTAATTGCTCATGGTTCCCACAACCCTAGTTGTGGATTAAGCTACTCATGCTTGAGAATTCACAATTCATATTAGGGTTACTAAAAGAAATCATGAACTTACAATTAGAATAGATGAAAATCGAAATCTTGAATTGAAATTAAAAGTGCAAATTGCATAAACTAGCTTCCGGAATTAAAGTGCCAAATTGTTTGCAAAATAATTCCAAAAGACCAAAACAAAAGTCTCCAATATTGTCTAACTCCCCAAAGCGGAAATAACAACTAGTATTTATAAGAACTAAATACTAAACAAAGCAGGAAAACAAAATAAGGAAAATCGGGTCAAACACGGTTTCCATTTACGACACGACCTACGGACCGTAGATCAACCTACCGTCCTTGGTTCACCTCTGTGGTTCAACACTTAGAAAATATTTCAGGACCTTCAAACGACGGTCTCACCTACGGTCCGTGGATTGGACTACGGTCTGTCCTGTCCCTCCGTGGTTCAAGTACTGGAAATCAACTTTTTTATCAGAAACGACGGTCATGCAGAACGGTCCGTCATTCACTCTACGGGGTGTCGTTTGCCTCCGTGGTTCCACACTTGTTCAGACTTCCTTGAACTCACATCCACGAGCCATCACCTACAGCCTGTCACTGGACCTACGGTTCGTGGTTTGGCTCTGTCGATTGCCACTGCTGCCACTTCAGTTCTTTTCCCTCTCAACCACTTCCGAACCAATTTCCTGCAAAGATAACATAAAACCATTATATCTACTAACAAAACAGCCCAAGACACACACAAATTCTAAGTGAAATGCATAAAACATATTGTAAACTGACGGTATATCAACACCCTCAACTTAAACTTGTTCTTTGTCCTCAAGTGACACATTAAAAACTCTAAACGACACTCCATGTAGAAGCAAACATACAAACTCAAGCAATCACATGGCTTTCTCAATCAATTCTATCACTTAGTGCAAATCTTTTCATTTAGACTCAACAAGCTAACTCATGCGGATCAAATTATGACATACACACACAAATAGATATCACCACATACACTTTCAACAATCACCAAGGTACCAACTCTCCAACAATGTAACTAGTGCCCTTACTTCAAAGAAATCATTTTTCACACAACAACTCTGATTTTTAAGCTTAAGGATTCAGTTAACACTCACGCTCAGAAGTGAATTAAAATACAGTTAGTGCTCAATATCATAGGCTTGCCCTTATTTTCACTTAACATACTCTCCAAGCTAGTCACTAGGATCACTATAGGACTTTATTAGCTTGTAACGTAGGCTTAGAGTCAGGTAGGATACATTTGGAAACTTTTAGTGACTTTTCTACCCTCCTTGACATTACATTGGCTATTTACCTCTTTTCTCAACCAATTCTAGAATAATTTTTTATTTTCTACTCTACTCCTTGCTTTCTTCAGCACAGATATGACTTGACTTTTTCATTCTTCTTTTTCCACTTTTTCTTTTTCTTTTACTTCTTCTTTCAATGTTTTTCAGCATCATTATCATTCTTTTTGTTTCTCTTGAATTTAGTCACACCTTTTTATATCCCTTTTCTTCTTCTATACACAACTATTTTCATACCCTTTTCTTTAAGTTTCCTTTTTCATAGCCACCCTCAACTTATGTATATTGCATGAGTTGAGGTGCACAATATCTGAGGTCGGACCAGGGCCAAGATTAAAGTAACTTTTGAATTAGCCACCCTCAACTTAGGCTTTTGGGCTAAGTTAAGGTGCACATGTCCAATGAGGGACCATGGCTAAAACAGTCTTTAAGGGAAGGTGAGTTAGGTGTATTGAATAATGTGGTATTCATTAGGCTCAAACAATTGGATCAAATGGAGCATTTATTTCTTTTGGTTGGATCTTTCTAGGCTTAAGTGGACTTAT